ACTGACATTTTAGTAACCATGCCATCTACCCAGGAGTCTCTGGGTGGTACAAACGGTTAAGGGCTTGGCTAGTAACTGAAAGACTGGCCGTTTGAATCCACCCAGAGGTGGCTTGGAAGAAAGACCTGGTCAGCTACTTCTAAAAGATGACAGGCATTGAAAACCCTGTGAAACGCTGCTCTACTCGGACACACATGCAGTTGACATGAGTCAGAGCTGACTCCACAGCAGCTGGTTTGGTTTTTGGTTTTACCACCCATCCACTCTAGGTAAAATGTTGATGCTATTGATCGGAATCTACTGTGCAACTAAAGCATTGATTATCCTGTTTACTAGGTCAAGGCTCTATGTAGATGAATCTTTGGAGTATAATTCTGTTGCAATTATTGTTGACTGTGGAATTTATAATTATCAGTATCATTTATCAACAAAAAAAAATTGATCATGTTTATTGTTTCATTTTAGGTCACCGGTGTCTTCAGAAGACCACGGTAAGAACCTGTCTCACTTATAATAGTGGAAGCTGAGCTCTGATCACTGTATTTTGAGGCCAGAGAAAATAATTATTTAAGAAAATGCTACCAAGACCTGATAGTGTGAAATGGCAGTTGCTTTAATTCACCCTCACTGGATTTGGTATACTGTATTACCTTCAAATATGCTATAACCCTTCTAGTGACAAACATTTGGAAGCCCAGTGTACTCTGCCTCTTTTCGGTCCCATCACCAGAAAGTTTTTGTGACATTAGGCTGGTCATGTAACTTCTCCAAGTCTGACTTTCATCTTTAGAATGGGGGTTTGTATTAGATAGCCGTGGAAGTTCCTTTCAGATGAGGCACTGGATTTGCAAAGGGTGTTTTGAGTCTGGAAGGAAGCTAATTGCTATATGGTATGAGTTGTTACCCAGCCACGGTGAGTTATTTGCATTTTAAGAGAAAATTATTTCACTCAAAAGGTAAAATGTATAATTTTGTTACATCTAATCCTTGGAATTATCCGTTTATTCAGTCAGTCATTCAAAAAGGTTTATTAGGTGTCTGCAATGGGCCAGTGATAGTATACAAGCATGCTGTACAATTTTGCTCTGGTAGTGTAGTGCCTAAGGCACTTGACTGCTAACCAGAAGGCTGGTGGTTCAAACCCACCAGCCACTCCTCAGAAGGCAGATTGGGCAATTTACTTCCATAGAGATACTGGCTCAGAAACCAAAGGGGAGGGGTAACTATGAGTCAGATCTGACTCAACGACAGTGCGTTTTGTTGCGGGGGTAGACAGAGACAAGGTGATGCAACAAGGACTTTTGTGTGTCTAGTGGGGGAAGGGGTGATGGGATGACACACACATAATACAAAGAAAATGTGATTAGTCTTATAAATGAGGGATAAGTAAGAACTTCAGAGTACTCTTTATTCCTCTTCATGAAGTCCTTAATATAGCTAATGATGCTATTATCCATTCAGTCAGCCAAGCAAAAAGCATGAAGCTGCCCCACGCCCTCTCCATCATCCCACATTTTCACCTGACTACTAAATCCCATCAGCTCCATTGTTTAGCTTTTTATTATCTCAAATCCCCTTCCCACCTCTTTCTTCATGTCTTACTTGGACTTTTGACACTATCTTCTAACTGGGGTCCATACCTCTAGATTCCCTTCCTCTCTGTCACTGCATACCTTGCTAATACCCAGCTGATGGTTCTTTAGTAGAATCTACTCCCATTGCCTTATGGAAAATTCCTCCCAGTATTCCAATAATTGTGTTCAGCTTTCCAATATTTGATTTTGACGTGGAGAGGAAAGCCCTAACTGATGGACTGGAAAGCCCTAATTGATGGGCCATTGTTGTGCAGCTTGTTGCTTCGTGGGTCATCATCGTTTTCCTTCTGCTAACCATCTTCTCTACTGCAGTCATGCAGAACTCCAGACATGGTCTAGAACTCACCATGTTTCTCGTGGCTCCCTGCCTTTGCCCAAATCATTCCTCTGAAAAGGAGTGGCCCCTCTGTTTTGCACAATGCCTACTGCATAAAAATAACAAGCACTCAATAAATTATAGCCTTTATTGTTATTGACCTTGTTTCTCCTTAACTTCTTTTGAGACTTTGCTTATTCACTTCATCCTCTGTGAGAGCTTTCTGGTCTATTTATCCTTGCACCAAATATTTTCTTCCATTCTGGAGCTTAACACACAAATGCAATGCTTTTTTACTTGTCTTGCCTTTAGAATGTGGATTCTTTCATAGAGATCTCAACAAACAGCAGATGTGCAAAGATGTCTATTGAATGAATGAATGAAGGAGGTAAAGAAGGAGTTTCAGTCAGGCCTTTTCTGCTGCTGCATCATAAAATCTGTCCCCACACTGAAGTGAAACCTCCTCATTCTCGATGAAGAAACATTGGGCAAATTATGTTCAGGTCCTTAAGTCAGCATCAAGCAGTGGGCAACCTGATGGTAACCCATTATTATAGGCTTTTTTTTTTTTTTTCTTCTTCTTCTAATCATTTTGGCATGACTAGGTCTTGACTGCATATCTGGTCACTTTTTAAGACATCAAAGTCCTTGAGCTGCCATGTCCAAATAGTAAACATGTGTTTGGCTCTTATTTTAAGCAGCATTTCCCTTAATGGCCTTTGGTTTCTCTTATCTTCCTATCTAAAAGAACTTATTTCTCATTGCAAAAAAAAAGGGGGAGGGGGGACTAAACTCTCAAATTTCATTTCTATACTCCACTAGGAATTCTTAAGGGTAATAAGATATCCATGAACATATGTCACAGTCCTTAGAATTCCTGAGAGTTGACGAATACCAGGAGACTTTCTCCGTATTAACAGCATTGAAGAACTGATTATTTTAAGAACTGTTATATGTGGTTAGTTGAAGAAAGCTTTATGAAAATGAGATGTTTTGTGCATTTTTATGGCTTCAAAAATTACTACATGTCCAGATCTCTTAATTTGCTTCTGTAACATCTAAAAATAGTTCAGCTATGTAACGCAAAGTTATGGTGCTGGTTTATCTAATCTTATTTAAGTTTTCATCATCTTCTAGCACATGTATCATTGGCAAAAAATATTCTCCTTTCCTTTATCACTAAGATTTTCTATGTAGTACTCATAATCTGTTACCTTGTACTTATGAATTTTTAAAACCCTTTGAATATCATATCCTTAGTTATGTAACAGTTGTATGGATCGAATGATGTAATATACTTGGAAGAGAGCTAGGAAACAGCACTGTTTTTCCCCTCAATTTTATGTGTAGAAAAGTTGAGGCCTGTTGGGCAGATAGATTATGTCACTGGAGTATGAAGCCCTGGGCCTCTTGATTTTCTGCTTTCTTTCTTTGTTCCGCTCCCCTCACTACTAACTGGTTGCATTGGCTGTCACCAAAACAGACTTCCGTTGTTGGGAAAATACAATTTTCCAAAACTTGGCAACCCTAGCCTTCTCCATCTCCACAGATTACACCTTACAGAAAATATGTTAAATACTGTGGCTTTGTGTTGTCCTCTCCTTTGGTCTTGGTGTCCTTATTTGTAAAATGGGTCTCACCACATCTGCCCTGCCTCCCTTACCTGATTGTTGTGAGTTCAAGAGGGTTCTTGTGAGTTCTCCAGAAAAACAAACAGTGAAACATTTTAGATAGATGATAGATAGGTAGACAGACAGACAGACAGAGACAGATAGATTTGCTTTAAGAGATTGGCTCACATGATTGTGGAGGCTAAAAAGTCCAAAATCTGTAGGTCACGCAACAGGTTGGAGACATCTGCTATCCCAAGATTCATAGGTCAGGTGACAGGAAGAGTGCAAAAAGAGAGAGACAGAAATAGGGTTATGCCAGAATACCTGTTTTATAATCTGAAGGCAGCCCACATGCTACGGAACTGGAGTTTCACTGATTTATTGATTATATTAGATTACAGTATGGAAGACAGTTACATCACAGAACAGCAGTGAGTCTACTGTTTGACAGAACCACTGTGAACCAAGCCTAGCCAAGTGACACATAAAATTAGCCATCGAAGTGTCTGCGATGTCACTTTCTAGTTTGTTCAAAGCACTCCAAACACAGCACCATTGTTCGCCACATCCAGGCAAAGTGAAGGGGAATCAAGCCTGTCAGGCATGTTTGCTGAGCCTTGCCTTCTCTTTTTGTCTGAAAAGGTGGGAGATAGGCAGGGGAAAACTGTGCCCTTCCATAACACCATTAAATATTAAACTTTCATTGCACACCTTTCATACCAAGGTGAGGAGAATAAAATGTTTAGTACTCAACTTAGCGTGTAGTGCCAGAGAAAAGGCTGAGCTCACGATCAGGTGTGCGGTCCTATAGAATTGGTGATACGCAAATAAATAGTTTCTATTTATGTAGTAGGGTTTCAGGGTCATTGGGAACAAAGGCTTTAATGTACTGAGTGCTCATTATGCAGTAGACACCATGCTAAAGTGCTTGTCCTCCATTATTTCATTTCATCTTGTATAAATAACACTACACTAAGGTGGATTTTCCATGATTTCACAGTTGACGACACAGACTCAGTACTTTGAGGTCAGACAGCTAGTAAGTAAGTGGTCAAGTTCATTTTCAAACCCAGGTCCAACCCCCAGCTCTCATTCTTTTATCCACTATGTCCCTGGAGAAGGAAAGAAATAACTGGGCACTAAGGTGAATGGCTAGAACTACAGAGAAAAAATTGTTTCTTGCACAAGAGTTAATTTATTACTACATACGTAATTTCTTTGTAATGACAAAACAAAACAGAACAGCTTCTCCCCTCCTGTTGAAATTGACTTTTCCCTGTGGCAAAGCAAATACCAGTGTCACGTTCTCTTATAATTAGTTAACAGAGGGAAACTAAAGCTTCGGAACAAGTTCCATTACAGATACCAGTAGCAGCATTACGTTGTGATGTTGCAGCTGGAAGCCGAAGTCTTACTCTGGTCAGAAGATAAGCGTGCGAGTGATTGATTGCCCTGTGGCATGATTACCCCCAGTGTTTAGCGCCTGTCACTTCATCATTGAGCTGCCCCTGAACCCACCCTGCCCAGGCTGTCTCTCCGAGCTGAGCTCCCTCTTTAATTCCACCATCTTTGATTGTCCCATCTCAGCCTCCCTACTTATGGGCCTCTTGCTGCTGTTACCTGTGCCTCACCTGAGAGAGAGAGTGCTTCCAGCTGGTGTCTGTTCACTTACTAAAGAAAAAACACCAACTGGCTCTTCTGTAGGGAAAAGCCGGCAATCGGCTCGGTTCCCCAGATGTCAGAAGCAGTGTCCCTGAAACAGCCCCGAGACCTATTGGCAGTAATGGCCATCATGGTCTACAGTAGCACTTTGATCACAAAGTAACATCGGTGAGTGTGGGGCAGGGGGTGTGTGGAAACAGAATGTACACAGCCACAGTCATGAGGGTAAGTGACAAGGGTGAGGCCACTGTCAGGCTTGGAGGCAGCTGTAGTTGGCAGTAAGTTGGTCAAGGAAACGCACCCTT